TGCGTGCTTACAAAAATATTTAGACATTATGCATATACTTGACACCCTGATCATTCCACCTACCTAACCCATTAAAGAAGAAAGGAACAGGCAAAAGGAGAAAAAGAATATCAATTCAAGGTTTCAAAAAGAAGCACAAAATAACATTGAAGCTTCAAGAAAGCAGCACAAAATTTGATAATGAATATAGAGCATGAACAAGCCATATGTTCATCCAATAAATCCCATACTCCCAACTCATGTCCAAAATAAAGTGAAAATAAATAAATAAAAAGAGAGAGGATTTTAGAGCCTGAGACAGGTAAACTAGATACATTCATTCAGCAGATACTGAAAAACTAATTATTTGAATGCATAAATATGTGCATAACCAACCTCCTTTATGGCGAGTAGATGAACAGCATCAGGTCCAATGTTACCATCAACCATTGTTGATGGGGTGATCACCTCAATTAATTTTCTCTGAATGACCTGAAATAATCCAGTGTTATTAGTCAAACTATTAAGACAAGCTATTGAGCACAGCCACGGTCTCACATTAAATACACAAGCAGTTTTTTGAACTACAATATCAAGATACATAAAGGATAGCATACCAAAGAGTAAAAAAAGAATAACAATAATGATATAACAAAATAGATTTAAAGTTGCATCTCCAAACATGAAAAATGAAAAAACTTACAGAATTGCACCTCTAGCTTTTGCTTGCTCAGATGTCTCTAACTGCTCCATGCGCCCCACTTTGTATCTTCAAAAAGAACAGAAAATGTGAATTACAATCTGCTAAATTAAGGAAAGAGGCGCCATCTAGTATTCAACATTCCACTGTCTAAAAGATGACCAAGGGCATGGATCATTATTTCCTCTTTTGCGCTTTCTACCATCAAAACCTGTTCTCTTTCTCCAAATCCCAGAACAATTAAAACATATTCTTGTTTTAGAATTAGAAATTTTATTATAAAGGATTCTAATATATCATGACTATAGAAATTTTAATATAAAGAATTCTAAGACATAGTATGAAGACAACCACAAATCTCCTCAACATTCTTACCCACGAGCAACCAGCTTATGAACGGCTTCATCTATTCCACTTTCTGATATACCAACCTGAATATAGAGAAATATATCATGACTATAGCATCTACACCGCCACTGCTTTGAAAGGCCATATATATAGATAATGCTCTGATAGACCATTACAATAATGAAAATTAGATAACAAGTCACCTGGCGGCATTTGCCCACTCCGCTTACTGTCATCTTCCAATCAAGCTCCTTGTGGCCAATTTCAGCATCTATCTCATAGAGCTCATAGAATTTCCCCTTTTATAGAAAATTATATTGTTGGATTAAGTAACCATGAAAACAGAAAATAAACACAAAACTCATAACATGCTTAACTTAAACCAATTTATAGATGCAAAAAGGAAGGTCTAATAGATTATAAGACACCAAGAGGTTGAAGAATACAAATCTAAATTGTGACTAACATAAATTGGCATTTGACACCTTTTTCTGCTCCCCCCATATAAGTTATCCATGTAAAGGTTAATCTAGTATGGCTAAAATATAATCCAATGTGGCAATATCAGCTATAGTTAGTGACAGAAGGAAACTAGAATGTGGTGCAAAAATAACTGACCACTTTAAAGAAGAGGACAACATCCATATATTGACATTTGACAATCCAATATTGTTTTTGAGATGCTGACATTGTCTTGAGAACATCAGGAGGTATATAAAGAGTCTTCTTGTCATAAAGGGGATCACAAGGCCTTCTTCCATTAGCATCTTTGATGCAAGAAGGATCAAGCCATCCAAATTTGCTAGTAACATCAATAACATTCCAATGATTATTGTTCCGGACAGTAGATTCCTGGAGAAGCTTTACTCTTTTACCGGAGTCTAATAAAGAACTATCTTTTTTATCCCCACCATTAGCATCCTTGATGCAAGAAGGATCAAACCAACCAAATTTTCTACCAACATCAGTATCATTCCTATGATTCTTGTTCACGAAAATAGATTCCTGGAGAAGCTTTACTCTTTTACCCGAATCTAATAAAGAACTATCCTTCTTATCCCCAAACTTTGGGAAATAATCTTGAATTCGCTTCAAACGAGAAACACCAGGTTTTGTAGCAGGTGTTTCTGGCCTGAGATCATCATCATCCTCAACATTTATAACATTGGCCTTTTCTGTTGGCTGAGAGTTTAACCCCACTTTAAGCAATTCTTCTACATTCGAAGAATCGACACCTGCATGGTTCCTGCAAATTAAAAACAAATTATTGACAGGCTATACTTTGATGCTTGATAGTTAGAAATTCGAATTTAATTTTATGAAGTGAATAATATTATATACGAATTCCAGTTTATGTTATCCTTACACATTTTTCAGAAATATTAAAGATTGCGTCATTTTTTCCTAAAATCAAAGGGAAGTTCCATATGTGGCTTATTATTAAACCCTAAGGGTACGTCCAAAAGTTATTGTTTTAATAAAAACGATTTAATTTATACGCTCAAACTTACCTCTGACTTCCTTTTCCTTTCTCTTCAACCTTCACAAACTTGTGCATGATACTAGAAAACAGAGAATAAGAGCCACTGGCACCGACATTCGTTGCGAAGTTCTCCGGAAACACTTTGCGAGTTTCCTTCTCCGGTGAAGTATCAGTGCCAGTGACTTCTGCAGACGAGCCACAAACGACGCCGTTCTGGTTCTGTTTTGAAGGAAACTGAGAAGCTCCTCGACATTTTAGCTCTCCGACGGTGACGTTCTGGCCCGCCGGCGAAGGCTTCTGCAAGGACGAGAATATCTATTTTTGGCGCTGCATTTTCAGATCGAAAGACAGAGTGAGAAGGCACTGTGGTAGCGGTGAAAAGTTTTTGGCGCCAACTTTTGCCCCTCGGGCACTCCAAAATGACATTTTAGAGTGGTTTTGGAAGAAGATATATGGAACGTCAGATTTTCTCGAAAATGATCTGAAGCGTCCGATCCATTTTCATTTTTCACCCTGACAACAGCACTAGACTTTCTCCACGTTTAACAAATAAAAGGTTACCACGCCACCACGTCGATCAGATACTTTTTTCCTTATGTCAAATTTTTATACAATAATGCGTTTTTATTGGATTTAATCTGTATACTATATAATTTAATCACTTTTGATTTTTTTACTTTAATAAACTGCATAAAAGATTTTCTAACTATAAACTCTATTCAAAATTAATCCTTAAAATTTAAGATATATTATATTAATATTTAAACTATAATTCTTTTCTAAATTATTTTATAAATTTTAAATTTATATTAATCATGAAATTATCAATATCATTTCATTTTGGTTCTTTAAAATATATCAATTTTTCAAAAAAAAATACTCACGTTTTTAGTTCTCCATATCTTCAAAAACAAATAAAATTAACAGAACATTAACAGAATAATCAAAATAGATTGATATTAATAATTTCATAATTAGTATACAATTGAATCCTTATACTAAATTGTAGGATCTTATATTTATTGATAACTTTGATAAAGTAGTAGATAACTATTGAGAAATTTAAAATTTAAAACTAATATATTTTTTTATTATAAAATGATTTTATAAAAATAATTTCAAGCTAATATCGATTTTATATTACAATGTAAATTTTAGTTTATTTTTCTATATGATTATTAATTTATCCTAAAAGGATACTTACAATATTTATCATGCATACAAAGATAACGATCTTAATAATTAAAAAATTATTATTATCTTTTAAAATTTTATATTTTATTACTACATGTTCAATAATATAAACTTAAAATTTTTAAAACATATATTATTTAATATTTGACCCAATTTTTTCTTAAAAAAAAAGTATATTCCATCTTTTTATTTAAAGAAAACCTTCTATAAAGAACGGGAGATGACTATCTAATTCAGTTGGTAGAACACAAGGTTATTAATTTTGAGGTCGTGGGATCGAGTCTCACGGAAGATATTTCATAATTTGGAAGTCTTCTACGGAAACTGCTCTTAATCTGATGTTGGGAGCAATCTACTATCTTACCTCCCCTTACCTCATTACATATGGGAACAAAGAATAACCATTTTTTTTCTTCTATAAAGAACGGATAACAGATTGCCGTGTCATTATATTCATACATAAATTAGTAAAGAACCTTCCAGAGCCAGAACCACTATATAAACTCCGATTTATAATTTTTCTGCCCACAGTAACCATTAACCTCAATTGGCGAAGAAGTTTTCAATCAAATCATCATCCTCAACAATGCCTAGCAGATTCGGTGGAGCCGTGAGTTAGGACTGGGAGTACGTTGTGCTCCACAAGTCGAAGCCCAAGTCCAAGGATCTCCGCGGTCCAAAGGCCGTGAATCTAGCTCTCCGGTCGGGTGCAGCAATCCAGACGGTGAAGAAATTCGACGCTGGATCCAACAAGAAAGCCGCGGGGCCGGTGATTTACGCCAGGAAGCTCGACGAAGCGGAGGAACCGGCGGCGTTGGACCGGGTGTCGACGGATGTGAGGCAAGCAATATAGAAGGCACGGTTGGAGAAGAAGATGAGCCAGGCGGAGTTGGCTAAACAGATAAACGAGCAGATCAAGGTGGTTCAGTAGTACGAAAACGGGAAGGCGGTGCCGAACCAGGCCGTGTTGGCCAAGATGGAAAGGGTTCTCGGGGTTAAATTACGAGGCAAGAAATGATTCCGAACAACAACGTAGTTTTGAGCATAAATGTGTGTGCTGTCGTCTGGATCCTCATCAAATGATCCAATTGTACTGAATTATTGTCAAGAAATCGCTCGGTTTTCGTTACTCTTGCCAAAAAAGTTCAGCTTTGATTTGGTTTTTTTGAAGGTCAAACTATATACTACAAAATTGGATATCGCGAAATTATGTTTTCTTGATTTACAGACTTAAATTATGTTTTTATAACAAATACGAACCGTTAAAAAACAATAAATAATTAGCAGATATTTTAATTGAAGAAAAGAAATTAAGATTGTACCATGAGAGCAGCTAGGTTTCACTAATCCAAACAATTATTGTTGGCTGATTTCCTAAATTATTATAACAAAATAAGCATTATTTATACTAGTAAAATCCCATCAGGGGTATTACGAGGATCTAGTACCAGGGAGAATCGACAACGGGAGTTACAACAGATTTTGTTTGAAGATACTGATTAAGAGCATCCAAACCATAATCCCTTCCGAATCCACTCATCTTGTATCCACCATAAGGGCAATCTACATCAAATGCAGTGTAACAATTGATCCAGATGACACCGGCACGGATCGACCTCGACACGGTATTGGCGACGTTCAGGTTCTTCGTTATAATCCCAGCTGCCAAGCCATAAGTTGTGTCGTTTGCTCTCTTGATTACTTCTTCCATTGTTCTGAAGAGAAAAAAAAACACTCCTAATTACATGTACTTGGTTCATTATAGTTTGAAGTTATAACACTGCTTACCTGAACTTCATCAACGACATCACTGGTCCAAAGATTTCTTCTCTTGCTATGGTCATGTCGTCCTGTTACAACAAGTCATCGTTGGTTTAGAAATCTACACCAAAGCTCCAACAACGACATCATTGTTTCAAGATCATCTTACCTTAACATTGGCAAATATCGTCGGTTCGATGTAGTATCCCTTCTGGCCGACACGGTTGCCCCCGGTTAACAACGTAGCTCCTTCTCTCTTTCCAAGCTCAATGTAAGATAAAATCTTCTCGAATTGCTTCTTATCAGTCTAAGACATCATATGGAAAAACATTGCATTGATCATAAAATTCCAGGGTTCAAAAGTAAAGGGAACTGCAAAAAGAATACAACTTAAACTTACTTGGGGTCCTTGATGAACTTTAGGGTCAAAAGGGTCGCCAACAACCGTTGCTTTTGCCTTCTCTATCAGTTTCTTTTCAATTTTTTCATAAATACCTTCTTGAACAAAAACACGGGAACTTGCCACACAAATTTCTCCCTGCGAAACATATCGAATTACGACGGTCTTAGTATATTCGAAATTGCAATGCAGAAGCCGGATTGAGGTTCGATTGTAGAAGTCACTTACTTTGTTGAAAAACAAGGCTCTGAAAGCAATTTCTGCAGCCTGGTCAATATCAGCATCATCGAATATCAACAAAGGTGATTTGCCTCCCAATTCAAGTGACACCGGCTTCAGATTACTTGCGGCAGCTGCCGTCATTATCTTCCGTCCGACTTCCGTAGACCCAGTAAAAGTCACCTGGAAAACCAAGCGAGGTAAGTTAATGCCTATCGTTGATGCAAACTTCGTACCAAAAATGTCAAATCAAAATCTCACTTTATCAATATCCATATGAGAGCTAATGGCAGCTCCAGTAGTATGTCCATGTCCATTCACAACATTGAGCACTCCATCAGGGACACCAGCCTATTTTCAACACAACCAAAATCAAAAAGCCAAGCCATAAAGGCTACATTAAAAGGTAAAAAACCAATTTCAACATTAATTACCAGCTTGGCGAGGTGAGCGTAATAAAGGGCCGAAAGAGGAGTCTGCTCGGCAGGCTTGAGGACGATGGTGCAGCCGGCTGCTAATGCTGGAGCAGTCTTCATGAAGAACATGACAGTAGGGAAATTCCAAGGGATTATGCTCCCTACAACGCCAATAGGTTCCCTGAGAGTGTAGCCATGAAGTCCCTTGGACAATTTTAATACTGTTCCGTGAATTTTATCGGCTGCACCGGCATAATAACGCAATGCCTTTGAAGCTTCAGCGACGTCGATCACCTTGCAAAGAGCAAATACCTTGCCTCCATTAACAGCATCTAATGCAGCTAATTCGTCTGCATTTTTTTCGATCAAGTCTGCGAACTTCAGCATGATCAATCCTCGCTCCTATAATATCAAAGTTGAAAGGATGAATAAAAAAGAACGTACTAACAAAGTAGCAAATTGAAAACTCCTATATATATTTTTGATGCAGAGTTACTATTCTGATACGTACAAATACAATTTTATATGTATATATAATATTTAATTCACTTCTAATGAAATAACTTAATATAATGTTTCAAGAAAATTTAATACAATATTAGTCAATGGCATAAAGACATAAAATGTATCGAAAATAAATATTATCGACGACGGAATTTTTTTATTCCGCAACCAAAAATAAGTGAACACGTGTTCATTTATTTTTCCTGTAAAATATTTAAATATAAAAATTAATTTAAAAATATATTAATGTTATATATTGAATTATCCCGAAATATTTGGATAAATTATTTTGATTTGAGTTGACTTGAGATCAATTAAATCAGAGGCGTGTAGGGAGTAAGTAGACAGTAGACTCTCTCAATTAAACCGAACAATTAATGGGATAATTACGTACGTCATTCTCAATTATTCGAGAATGTGCAATTTTGTCCTTTCGTGACACGTGAAACCTGGAAATAACCAACGCCACCCTGGAAATTTGTCCACTATCCGGCGGTTAACAAAACGTTAACCGATACGTTTAATGCAGTTCAGGAAATGATAATAGTAATAGAATCAATCAGATTCGATTAATAATAAATTAAATCAGTCAATAATATTAAAATAAATAAACACATGTTTCTGATCCAACAAAAGTCAAATCAAATTCAAGTGCTAAAGAGTATAATCTTTGATTAGAGTTCATGATTCGAATTATATGAACAAATTGATAACAAAACTGGATGTGATTATTCGAATATCCAGAAAAATAGTAAAACTTACCGAGCCGGACATGCGAGGCCAAGGGCCGTGGTCGAAGGCTTGACGCGCCGCCTTAACAGCCAAATCAATATCCTCTGCATCGCCGAGGGAAACTTTTGTTATCACCTCTCCTGTTCTCGGATCAATCGTGTCCAACGTTTTCCCTGGTAAAAGTCAATGGCAATATAATCGCTCATATTTCTAATTCAAACACAAAATCATAAAAGCCTCCAAAACGAAGAAATCGAGAAACACCGAAGGCGAGCGGATCCGTTCGTGTTTTGACGGAAAAGAAAGATACCTGAAACAGAATCGACGAAGTCTCCATTGATGAAGAGCTTCGTGAATTTTATCGGCGGAATCTTGAAGGAAGATTCAGTGTGGTTGGAATTTCCGTTGCTATGATTCGCCATCTCTGAGCTCTCTCTCTCTCTCTCTCTCTCTCTCTCTCTCTCTCTCTCTCTCTCTCTCTCTCTCTCTCTCTCTCTCTCTCTCTCTGGTAGTCTAGTTTTACGTTAAGGAACGAATAGGACCCCTTTTTATCTGCATCGGTTGTCCATTCCGTCCATCATCTTTCACAATTTTATTTAATAAATGCCAAAGGACAAGAGTTTCAATCTTCTATAAACTATAATAGATGGGCTTATCCTTTTTCATTTATTATAAAGTAATGACTAAAGTGCTAATTAATCTAGTATTAACTCAACTTTAATACGTCGGCTAAGAGGATGCATAGGGTTTAAACTTTAATTATTTACGATATTTAGCAATTTTAGAACATATTTTACGCAAATTCACACATTCTATAAACTAATGACTAAAGTGCTAACTAATCTAGTATTACTTTACGTCCATATAAGAGATTGAGATGTATAAGAGTTTCACTGAATTAAGGTATTGTGTAATATTAAAGCTTGTTTATTAAATAAGTGTTTAAATTAATTTTGAGTATTTAAATTTTGTTCTCAAAATAAATATTTAATATTTTATTTTATTATATTTACAGGTCATCTGTTAAATAATTATAATTCGTTATTGATGAATATAAACGAAATCAAAGTGTTTCAGACTTCAAATTTTTTATATCTTAAAAAGTTAAATTAATTGCCATAATTATTCTTTTATTTTTGTGTTTACTTTTTTAGAAAAATAAAAAGAAATGAATAGAGGTCACATGTTGCATATTAATCAAGTAAACATTATTTTAAGTAGGCAACCTATAAATAAAAACATAATGAAAAGTTAAACATACTTTTTTATATTTATAAATTATTAAATCTAACATTTTTAGATTGACTCATGTAATTTCTTAAAAAAAAATATTCTATTATAGTTTAACATTTAATAATTATATAAATTTACTTTATTAAATTTTTAAATATATGCTATTTAATATATTTTTAATGTTTATATTATATATAATTTACTAAAAAAATTATGTCACACGGTATAATATATAAAAAATTTATAATATTACATAAAAAATTAAAAATAGATGAGGTTTTACTTGTGTATTTAATATTATAATTTAAATCTGATCTCTTCTAGTGTGAATATTAACAAGTTTGCCACTTTGGTTTTAACAACGTCCGTAATTTTTAGAAAATTTAATAAATTAGAGTACTTGGCACAAAATTAGCCGGCAAGTAATCTATTTATATAATTATTATCTTAATAAATAAAATTAATTAAATAAACGACGGCTTATTTAATAGATTATTCTGGCTGAAGAGTCTTTTTCTCAAAAATACCCTTTCTCGATATTCAACGGACCGACATGGGCAAATAGAAAAGTCCGAATGTTTTACTCTTACCGAGGAAAATATGTAAAAATCTAAAACGCACCGCAACAGCTGACGACTGACGTGAAGACGATGTCACAACAACTGCGATGGTCTGTGTCCGACCACGTTGATTCATTCTATGGTTAAAAAAATAAAATTAAATAAATAACTTATACAAAGTCAAACGATGAAATTTTTATCATAAAAATATAAATATCACACTACATAAATGGCGCACGTTTACGAAATCCCGAAATCCTCTGGGTGCTCGTTAGCGGGCTAATGGAACCATAGATTTCTACTGACTCGTCGGTGAGATTCGTCCGATTTCCACATCAAGATCTCCGTTGTTGATGTCCCTTTCCTAGTATTGTTGTATTTCCGCTCGATGGACTGGCGTAAGTATTTTGGAAGTCCTGAAATCCATGACCTAAAATACTTTTCTCGAAATCTTCTCGATGGAGTTCCGACCGTGCTTCCTCCTCCTGAAATCTTTGAAGACGGCTCTTCTGATCGGAGATTATCCCTTGTTGGCTAATTCCTCGGTGCCTCCCCAAGTTTTTCCTCACTGCGAATAATTGTTAGAAGTTTATGGAACAAGGCGTTGCAAGGTTCTTCAGTCCAGGTCAGTTCTGCAGGACAAAATCTTTTCTTATTCTCTTTTATTACTGAGACTGCTAGGGACTAGGTAATCGAGAATGGCCCATGACATATTCACAATAATCCTCTTATACTTAGAAAATGGGAACCTAATATGAAGAGATTGAACTTTAGCTTATCTAAGATTCCAGTGTGGGTACACTTGTTCAATGTACCCTTAGAGCTTTTCAACCGTTCTGGCCTTAGCTATATTGCAAGTGCCATTGGAAATCCTCTCACAATGGACACTATAATTGCTTCAAAAACTAGGCTAGAGTTTGCTAAAGTCTGCGTTGAAATTGGAGCAGAGGATGCCATTCCTAAATTTATTGATGTAATTCTTAATGATGGACAATCTACTTCCATTTTTGTGGAGGTTCCCTGGATCCCTCAATCTTGCAAGAAATGCAAGGTTTATGGCCACAATGATAAAGGTTGCTCACAGAAACCTTACCCTGCTTCTAACGTCCCTCAAGTCTCGAGAAGGAAAGACGATCCTAAAATCAATCTCGTTCCTCCCCAAGTAAGTGGAGTTGAAGTTCTTCAGGAACATACTTTAAATGTTTCAAACGTGGCAGTTGTTGCTCAGACAGTGGAGATTGAAGCCACTATTCCTGATAATCATTAGATTAACCCTTCTTTAGATCCTAACGTTGCCCAGGCTGAGAATAATGTTAAAGTCACTGCTCCAGACATTGACATTTCTGTTAACACAGCTGACCTTCCTACTATTCCTGCTTCTGTTACCAATATTCCCTCCACTGAAATTATTGAATCTTCATGCAGAGGTATTAATTCCATTCAGTAGTTTCTAAAAAGGGTAGAAGAAGACCTCTAAAAGACAAATCTAAGGTTTCTCTATCTAGATCTAATAATAGATTCGACCTTCTCAACTCTGTAGAAGATGACATTTCTAACGTTGGAATCAACTCCAGGAAACCTCGGGCTGCCTCACTAGGAGTTATTAGTTTGGTTAATGAGCTAAAATCTAAAAACAAAGAGAAAATTGACAAGGTTAAAGGTATTCCTGATGAAATAAAATGGGGTCCTAGGGGTTCTTCTTCTCAATGATCGTAAGTTTTTAGAACATTAGAGGACTTAACAGTCCTCTAAAATAGAAGAAAGTGATTCAAATAACCAATCTTATTAATTCCGACGTTCTTTGCCTCATGGAAACCAGAGTTAAAGAAGACAAATCTGAAGCCATTCTCAACTCTAAATTCTTAAATTGGTATGCTTGTACAAATTATGACTTTGCTACTAATGGTAGGATATGGGTACTCTGGAGAAAGGGTATAGACTTTACTATTATTCAAATCTCAGACCAATGTATTACTATCAAAGAATTTTCCTCGGGCTCTCCAGTCTTTATCTCGGCAATTTATGGAAGTAATAATGGGAGTGCCCGAAGGCAATTATGGTAAACTATTAGAGAAGTTGATCACATTGTCAATCAATCTCCTTGGACCTTGGGTGGTGATTTCAATATTTTCCTTCACCCTGAGGAAATTTCGGATCATGAGCTTCTTGGCAACTATGTTACTCCTGACATGAAAGACTTTTAAGATCTTTCTCAGGATATTGACATTATTAATCATCCTTATTTCGATCTAACTTTCACTTGGAGCAACAAGTAGCAAGAGTTTTTCCTTGCTAGGAAACTTGATAGGGTCATGATAAATTCAAGTTGGGCTTCTTATTTCCCGCACTCTTTTATTGAATTCCTTTCCCCTAGCATCTCTGATCACTGTATGGCCACTATGTGGCTATCTAAAGACTCCCCAATTAATAGGCCTAAACCATTAAACTTCTTCAACTTCTGGGTTGCTCATTCTAATTTTTTTAATGTTGTTAGGCACTCTTGGCTTCCTACTGTTCATGGCAATCCTATAACTATCCTTATTACTAAGCTCAAGAGACTCAAAATCACTCTCAAAAGCTTTAATAAATACAATTTTAGCAACATGTTGGACCGAGTGAAACTTAAGAGATTAGAGCTGGAGCAACAACAAATTCTTACATTGAAAGGCGAGGAAAATATTGTTAAGAAAATTGGTCTGGTGGATGATAGTGGATGCAGATTAGAATCTTTCAACTCAATGTATCAAGAAACGCTTTCATTCTATTATAATCAGCTTGGTTCTACTGATGCTTCTTTAAAAGAGGTTTATCCTAATCTCCTTAAAGAGCTGTTAGACTATTCCTTACCTTCTGAAGCTTCAACCAATCTCAATAGGGATGTTACTGATGAAGAAATTCATAATGTTATTTTTTGTCAAGGAAACGATAAGGCCCCGGGACCGGATGACTTCATGCCCTTATTCTTCAAGAAAACTTGGCCTATCGTTGGAAGGGATATCATTTATAGCTGTTCGATATTTCTTTTCCCACAACTTCATTAATCATGCTTTTAATTCCACGGTTATTGCTCTTGTGCCTAAAATTCCCAACCCACGCACTGTCAAAGACTTTAGACCAACATACTGCTGTTCAGTGATCTATAAGGCTATTTCTAAAATCCTTGTTAATAGGTTGAATTTTTATATTCAAGAGATTGTTTATTTGAATCAGTATGTTTTCATCAGAGGAATAAGTATTATGGATAACACACTCCTCGCTCAAGAAATGGTTAAAGATTATGGTAGGAAAACCATTTCCCCTAGGTGCTCCATGAGAATAGACCTCCACAAGGCTTTTGACTCCCTTGATTGGAGGTTTATTTTTGCTGTTCTTAAAGCTATACAACTCCCTCGCCAATTTATTGCTTGGATTGAAGAATGTTTTACTCAAACCAGATATTCAATAGCTTTCAATGGTACCTTGATTGGTTATTTTAAAGGGGCTAGGGGGCTTAAACAAGGTGATCCACTCCCCCCTACTTATTTGTTCTAGCCATAAATATCTTAACTAGAATGCTTAATTTGATAGCAAACAAAAGAATCTTTGGACTTCATCCTAAATGTAACAAAATAAGCCTCACGCATATTTCATTTGTGGATGATCTCCTGATTTTTTGTAAAGGTAATGTTGACTCGGTGGT